ATGCTCGCGGGAGGAACTATCTGCCTTCCAGGTCCTACCTCCTTCCCTGTCACTAATGTCACTAGTCTTTGGGCCAGTGAGTTAGATCTCTGATCTCCTCACCAGCCAGAGAGGGCCCAAATCAAGTGAGCAGGGCCGTCTCTCAATGGGCCGGCAGGGGATATCAAAGGATCTCTCCTGTTGGCCTCGGTACATTGGCAGCGCTCTGCTTGTGGGACCCCTCAGCAACTGCCCAGCGTGCCCATGCAGAAAGACGGCCCTGTCTCCCAACCAAGTCTAACTGTCCACATCATGCAAGCCCACAGCTCTCCTCTCTCTCTCATTACTAACTACTATAGATTCCTCTCTCCTTAGTACTTACTTGTCCATTCATTTTCTTCCCTAATTACTAGCTGGCAGAAGATTTTCCAAAGTATTCTGTTAAAAAAAAATTGTCTAAAATAATAAAATTGAGGCAATCACCATGGAAATCAGTGGAACCAACAAACACAATACGTTGGCACTCTTCCCCTTTTTTTGAACCACTTTTTAAAACTGAACACTGATAAATCCCTCTTTATACCTGCCGTAAAGTAAACCCAGGATTTCACAATAGCAAATACTGCCTCAGGGCCCAGGAAAATTTTCATGGAAAGAACCAGGGAACCTGCTTTCTACCAGAAGAGTCTGAAGGAGAATTTCCATTCAAGCATAATTGGCTTATGCACCAGGACAATGATCCAAAACACACATTAAGTCTACCTCAGAATGGATCAAAGGAAGCAAAATGAAAGTTTTGGAGTGGCCTAGTCCTGGCTTAAACACCACTAAGATAGTGTGGCGTAAAATTGGTAGTGAATGCTTTAAAAACCTGCAATATTCTACTGCACTTGGTTGCAATTGTTAGTACTAAACTTGGTATAATTACATTTTTCCCAGAAGGTCAGCTGGCATTGAAATTATTTAAAAGTTGAATTTTGTGTTTATTTGGCTTCTATTCATCTGATACTTGGCATGTCTTCCCTTGGCTGTGAATATGTTGATGGACCCATTTTCTCATAATAGCTTTGGTGCCTTGTCATGTGGGTTTAGAGGCAAAGCTTCATATATGAAGATGTCTTAATCGGTGGTGATCCATGTATACATATTATAAAACATTTCTGCATTTCTGGATACTTTGTTCCCTTGTGCTGCATGTGAATACCTGTATCCTTTATTTTACTCTTCTGTGTCTGATGTCTCCATCACTATAAAGACAAGGTTATTCCCTTAAAGGGTTACTCCAACCTTCTGCATTTAGAATTGGTCACGGTGGTTGAAGTCTGTATGTGCAACGATTGAAGTCTGCCTTAGCAGTTCGGGGCTGTTAATCCTGTGCAAAAATTAAATGTGTTGTGAGCAGGCAGTGCACCCCTTCTCTACCTTCCTGACACAGAGGAGGTCCAATCAAATGGTTCTCTATGAAACTGCGCTGGTGACATCAGAAGAGCTGTGAAAGACAGCGCTGGGAGCTTTGCCCGGTGCTAGATTCCAAGTAAGTAAAAAACTTTTTTTGCTAAATTTGTGGGGGATCTAATGAATTGTGCCCAAAGGACATTATAAATAGAAAACAAAAACTTTTAAGAAATGGTTGGAATAGCCATTTAAGTGTTAATGTTCAGGAATTCAGATTCACAGAATTTCACAGTGAATTTCACATTGTCCGTCACTGGACTGGTAATATAGCTGAGATTTTTTCCCTTATTCTATTTCCAGTCTATTGTGATCTACAATTTAAAATGCACCTTATATTCCTGACAGTTCACACTTTAATTAATCAGTCTGTAAACTGTCTCAACATAGTTGCAAGCCTGCTGTGAAAATGCACAAATATTAGTTATTACTATATGAGTTAACTCTTTAAGTCTTAATAACTTACAATGCCACCATGACTATCTTACCCGTAGGCATTAATCCTGCACAAAATGTCCTATATATGTAACCAGCAGAGTTCTATGGTCCTGTTATAAAATAGGGTTGCCACCACAGTATTTTACCGGCACAGCTGGTTTTTGATGCTCTGTGGCCAGTGCCAGTATTGCAAAAATACAGACAATACAATTGCTGGTATTTTTCTATGAGGAGAATGTGCTACAATATCGGCACCGCAATATCGGCACCGGCACCAGGGTGTGCAGTGCTCTCGGGCCGTACTAAGAAAACTCAGTGGTGCTAGAGCTGCGTTGAGAGGACTGAGATGGGGAATTCGCAGCTTGTCCCTGCCCAATAATAGAGTCCGCATGGGAGGATCAGAAGCTGCAGGTCAAGTAGGTGGAAGCATGGCAGCAGGAGAGCATGTATGTGTGTGTGTTTGTTTGTGTGTGTATTGCAATGTGTGTGAATGTATATAGCAGCCTGTGTATGTCTGTATTCAGCAATCAGTGTGTGTGTGTATTCAACAATCAGTGTGTATGTATATAGCAGTCTGTGTGTGTCTGTATTCAGCAATCAGTGTGTGTGTATTCAGTAGTCTGTGTATGCATTCAGAATTCAATGTGTTCATCAGTCTGTGTATGTGTTCAGCAGTGTGTGTGTGTACTAGTACTAAGCAGTCTGTGTGTATGTATTCAGCAGTCAGTCTGTGTGTATGCATTTAGCAGTCTGTGTGTACTCAGCAGTCTGTGTGTATGTATTCAGCAGTCTTTGTGTATGTATATTCATCAGTCTATGTGTACTAAGCAGTCTGTGTGTGTATGTATTCAGCAGTCTGTGTATTCAGCAGTCTGTGTGTACTCAGCAGTCTGTGTGTGTACTCAGAAGCCTTTGTGTATATGTATTCAGCAGTCTGTGTGTATATGTATTCAGCAGTCCGTGTGTATTATTATTATTAATATTATTATTAATGGCATTTATAAAGCGCCAACAAATTCCACACCACCGTACAATTCAGCAGTTTTTCTGTGTGTATGTATTCAGCAATCTCTGTGTGTAATATATTCAACAGTCTCTGTGTGTATGTATTCAAAAGTCTGTGTGTGTATGTATTCAGCAGTCTGTGTGTGTATTCAGAAGTATGTGTGTATGTGTATTCAGCAGTCTGTATGAATTCAGCAGTCTGTGTGTATGTTTATTCAGCAGTCTGTATGTATTCAGCAGTCTCTGCATGTATTCAGCAGTCTGTCTGTGTGTATTCAACAGTCTGCGTGTGTATTTAGTAGTCTGCATCTCTGTGTTTGTATTTTGCCGTCTGTGTGTGTGTATGTGTGTGTCTGTATTTAGCAGTCTGTTTGTGGGTATACAGTAGTCTGTGTGTGAGTATACAGCAGTCTGTGTGTATACAGCAGTCTGTGTGTGTGTTTGTATTTAGTAGCATGTGTATGTTTTCAGCAGATGGGAGAATGGTGAAAGAAATAGAACCAGAATATCAATCTGTTATAAATGACATGTACACACATTGTTAAATACTATACACACACAATGACATACACAGACATTTTAGACACACACTCAAAGTATACAGACAATGACACACGCTCAGACAACAGTAAGATCACACTGTTATACACATTTAGACAACGACACACTACTATACACACTACTACACACAGACACTCATACAGACCGATTATACACACCCTGCCTCACATTCACAATGCTATACACACAGTCAGACAAAGTACAAACACTGTAAGTAGTTTATACGTGATTTAGAGAATTTTCTCCTTCCAAATGTTCTCATTCTTGTATGTACGTCGTGCCCTGTGATGTCACGCTTATATAATTAATTATGCAAATCAGAATGGCAGGTATTTTTTTCCAAAAAAGATGGCAACCCTAGTTAAAAATGAGAAGGACATTTCATGTTGATGCAGAAGATAAAAGGACCAGATTCTAATTATGACATCCAATAATAGACCATTGTTTGTCCTTAGTGACTTAATATTGGTTTGGAGTGGTGTCCCTCTCCCTCCACACCAACCAACATTTTGTTGGAATTTTTACTCGAATCGTTATTTTAAACAGAAACTTCAAGTAAACAAATGAGTTATGTTGCCCACAGTTCTGCTGCAGTTTGCAAGGTAATGTGATTAACATTTGTAAAGCAGGTGTACAGCAGCCTCTACTGGTTCAAAATGGAAAAACTATTTTCACAATGTTTTAGAAAGTTTTGACCTAGCATGACAGAGGCATTGTTTCAATGCAAACCAATACCTACACATTATTATTTCATAACTATTATTTATAAAATGTCAACAAATAATGAAGTGCTGTATAATATGTGGACTTACAGAAAATTATCTGCAAGACAAGTTGGACGTACCGGAACAGAGGCCCTGCTCAAACAAGCTTACATGACTGCTGACCCATACCAATCCCCAAAACCGTTGCCCCCCAATAACATACATGACACATTATTATGGTGGATAAGGGCAACGGCCACAGCTTTATTTAACATCACCAGTTTAAACGTTGTTCAACTCTGTCAGCTGTTGGGTGGTTGCCCAACAGACATTTCTCCCAAATTGTGTTCCATGAGTCTCAACAGCCGGCTACTCGCCATAAGCTCCGTGCAGGTTGTCGTCTCTCCAAAGTGCCTTTTCCATCTGCGCTGTCCAGGGAAAAACCCGCCAAGCTGTGACAACACAAAAACAAAACAAGACACAAGCCACAACACCAACAACACCAGAAACAGGCCCTCAACTGATCCTGCCAACTGGTAAGTCCCCTCCCTCTCCCCTTCCTTAAGAACCCCAACTTTGCTACAATTGTTACTTAGTAGACCCGGCCCACAATCTAGGGCAGCAGTCATGCCCCCCCCCCCCCCGATCTTGGACCAGATCTTTAAACAACGCGAAACAGCGAGCCAGATCATGCCGAATCGCGTGTACCAAGTCCACTGACCGTCGCCGTCCGACATCGTTCCCACCTGCATGAACCACCAATGTCACCGGCCCTGACATGCAGCGACTGAGCTGCACTAACTCTGCATATAACTTGTCCAAAGACAAACCCCGAATGCCCCTCCAACATACCCGGGCTACCTCATATGAGAACCCGGGGTTACGGCCATATGGTCTACTCTCTGCTCGCCTAGCTGCCCAATAAACGAACGAGTGTCCCCTGATCCAGACAAAGCGAAGGAGAAGGACCTAAAACAATAACAAAACATATAACCATGCATTAGCTGAGCCGCTGACCTACAGCAAGTGGCGGCGCACATAGAGCTGGAAGCCTCCCGACTGCCAGCGCCCCAAACGCTTAAGCGCTTCCACAGGGAGGCCCAGCAGACTCACCTGCGTGGCAGCCCCTATTCTAAAGGAGTGAGTAGTGTAACAACCAGGAGACAGACCAATACCCACCACGCATGCCCAAAGTACTGTGGCTTTAAAAAAGGGGGAAAGAAAACATTATAGATATACTCTTATACCTATTACGTTTATGGTTATCTAAAATGTATTTTATGTGATTTGTTGGTTTATTTTTTTAATAGTTTTTTCTTTGTGTTATTTGTTATTGTAACAATAATCAGTGACGGAAAAGATAAAGAAAGGTATAAAAGCGTAGAGGGGGGGGAAAGAAAAAGAGGAAAAAAGGAGAGATATATAAGAGAAGGGGATTAATATAAAAATGAATGAAATGCGATCATTACATTTGTCAAAAGTATAAAATATGCTTGATATTGTAACATAATCTTTTGAAAAAATATTGATTCAAAAATACAAACATATGTTTAAAAAAATACTTTTATTCAATATATTTTACATAATACACTATAAGTTCTCTCCTTCTGTCGTTACATATATTTCCAAGGACATCCTAGGTGCTCCACCAACCCTCCTATTTTCTCCATTAATAAGATTGCCACAGATCTAAACTGAGCCGTATCGATTTTTCACTAACAACTACTCGGAGTGATCTAAAAATTAAACTGCAAAGTTAAAGGTCGAAATACCCTGTAACTGTAACTACAGATTAGTTGGAGAATTTCTCCAAAACAACTATTTTTCCATTTTCCATTCATTATAGAAATACATAGAAACATAGAATGTGACGGCAGATAAGAACCATTCGGCCCATCTAGTCTGCCCAATATTCTAAATACTTAGTGAATAACCACATAGTATTTGTATATCCTTGCATGTGTTAATGGCTAGTTATCGATCACAATGAAATACTCCTTATAGCTATATAGAATTTTCCCATTATCAATGTCTGCGACACAGAGATCTGTTCACTAAACTGCAAATTGTGTTTGTTTGAGATTCGACTTTGTACAGATAAAGTTTCGAATTGGATAAAACTGCTAATTCTGCCATGTTGGATATATTTACCAGTGTACAGATTCCATTCAATAAGCCTCTAATCTTTGCAATGGTGAATGGCTTCATTGTGACAACTCTACTAACCTAACATAAAATGTGTTATTTGCGCTATAACATTTCTATTTTTACTTAACTATTTTACAGCCAGCGAAGCTCAGGTTCCCACAGACTCCTTTCCAAAAAGCATGGATAATTGATAAGCTGAGGAAGGACAATTTACCGCTGTCATTGTAAGACATGGGAAATACTCCCACAAGCCACCAGTTCATGTGTGACTAAATTAGCAGAACCTGACTTGCCCAAGAGTTTTGTTGTTTTCCTTGTACACATCTGCTTTAGGCAGGCAAATATCCTAACAAACATTGTGGGATGCAGAGGGATATTTGTACACTAAGAATGCCTAACTAATCAGAAAATGTAGCACACTCACCAGTGCTAGAATGGATAGCCCTGAGGGAACCGCAAATTTCACATGGCTTGCTGTGAATCCGGTTTATAGCAAAGCTGGAAGCCTCAGCTAACATTATTGGATGAGACTGTTATATAGATGCAATTTGGATGGTGTCTGTGAGAACATTTCTGTTCAACAGCTGTATCAGGCACAATACTATTGGTGATATTTGTTGACAGTTTTAAGTTGTAGAAGGTTTTTGGCACTTTTTTTGTACCACGCCCAACAAACTCTACAAACAGCTGGATAGCTGAAAGATGTTCCTGACAATTTTTCATAAATAGTTTTAGCATGTTTACATTGTGTTCTAAGGACCATAAGAATGAACGAGGAAAAAAATAATCCATTCACACATTCCATTCAGCAGGGATCAAGTGAAGTCACTATTAACAAACCCCATGACGCATCTTAAAAAAAAAGAAAAATTCACAATAATAATATAATACTTGAGTCTGTTTTTGTTTTTGCACGCATAGACACACTGTTTTATTTTGAAGCTGGAATTTGTTTATGTGAGTGTAAACATGTTGTGTGTGTTGAATGATGGGGGCTGAAGGTGTCAGCTGTCCATGTCGTAATCTGGACATGTAAAGTTAATTATTTCAACAATCTTATAGTAAAGACTTTATTTTTCACTAACATTACCGTTCTCTTTTAGCAATAATACCATATTTGTGAAATACACAAGCTGCTTTTAAACAATATTTAATATATGCATTTAAAGGAACACTTAGGGGACAATAACAACTTGATCAAAATGGATTTGTTATGATCCGAGGAGGTTCACGATTTTGAGAAAACAGAACGACAGAGAAGCAGAGAGATTTAGCGCTGGAACTCAGACTTTGGGGTTAATCATTTAGATCAGGGATGGAGCGTTTGCTTTACAAATTCCTGCCTGCAATTTAAAAACACACATTATGGGGGGGCGGGGCCGGGCCGCCATGCTGACCGGTCGCATGTAGGAGAATCTCCTGAGGCACTCTGTCAATCTGGCTGAAAAAAACAGCTTAAACACACAATTCAAGCTAAAAAATCTACCTGCAGCTGGTACACGACAGTGCACATCGCAGTGGACTCTGAGATCGGGAGTTTTGGAGCCTGCAGGGGTGATCTAAGGCTTTGGAGTTTGTGGTCTACTCGGAGGAGAAGCGGTACAGACGGCCGCTGTCCCGCTCTCCCCCTCCCTTCTGATGCCACACACCTTCTCTTTGGTGCATTCTGTTGTAAACTTGATGAAGGTTACTCTAATGTAAGCTGGGTGCCTGTTAGGGCATGGTGAGTAGGGCAAATATAATTCAGACCTTGTACCTTTATGCAGAGGAGGATTGAATAGAAGCAAGAAAGTCAGAAAAAATAATGTCTAAAAAAATTAGAGGTGGAAGAAACTAGGAAAAAAACATATGCCAATAAACACTGATCAGCCAAAACATTAAAACCTCTGACAGGTGAAGTGATTACATTGATTATATTGTTACAATGGCACCTGTCAAGGGATGGGATATATTAGTCAGCAAGTGAACAGTCACAACAGGGCCAAGTGATGGCTAGAGGACTCGGTCAGAGCATCTCGAAAATGGCAATGGGGTATCCCTGCTATGCAGTGGTTAGTACCTACAAAAATTTGTGCAAGGAAGGACAACTGGTGAACCAATGTCCGAGTCATTTGCGCCCAAGGCTCAATGATGCATGTGGGGAGCAAAAGCTAACCTATCTAGTCCAATCACAGAGGAAAGTCACTTTAGCTCAAATTTCTGAGGAACTTAATGCTGACCATGATAAAGAGATGTCAGCACATCCAGTGCAGTTTGCTGTATATGAGGCTTGTAGCCACAGACTAGTCAGGGTGCCAATAATGACCACTGTCCACAACCAAAAGTACTTTCAGTGGGGATGTAAGTGTCAGAACTGGACTATGGAGCAATTGGAGAACGTTGCCTGGTGTGAAAAATCATGTTTTATTTTAGATTAGGTGGATGACAAAGTGTGTGTGCAATGTTTACCTGGGGAAGAGATGGCAGCAGGATGCACTATGTGAAGAAGGTAAGCTGGGAATCCTTGGGTCCTGGCATTCGTGTGCATGTTACTTTGACACATAGAGATTATTGTAGATCACGTACATCCCTTCATAGCAATAGTGTTCCCTGATGGCAGTGGCTTCATTCAGCAGAATAATTCAATCTGCCACACTGCAAACATTGTTAAGGTATGGTTTGTGGAACATGACAAAGAGCTCAAGGTGTTGCTTTGGCCTCCAAATTTCCCAGATCTCAATTCGATTAAGCATCTGTGGGATGTGCTGGAAGAACAAATCTGATCCATGGAGACCCCACCTTTCAACCTGCATGACTTAAAGGATATGATGCTAATGTCTTGGTGCCACATACCACAGGTCACGTTCAGAAGTCTTGTTGAGTCCATACCTCAATGCAATGCAAGAGCTGTTTTGGCAGCACGAGAGGAACCTTGAATGATATTAGTCAGGTGTTTTTAATGTTGTGGCTGATCAGTGTATCTCTGCACTTACAGTTTCACACACACATAAGAATCCAGACAAATACATTCACACACACAGTGACATTCCATATAAATGCACCCCTACATCCATGGAGTGGTGTGTGCTATTGCTGTGGAATTCTGTTATGCGCTCAAATACAAATGGTATTACATAACAAAAATAAAATACACTGTAAGTTATATTGCCAATGAGTATTTTTTTATTTTTTTTATCTGTAGCAGTGAATTAAATATTTTTCAGTTCCCTTCCAAACATTTGGTTCTGGATCCTCGTCTACCTGCAAATGTCATATGTAGCCTTAATTGTGGAAGTAGCCAGCAATTATTATTATCGATATTTTATATTCGCTCATGATCAGCAACCTGCAGATGACATACAAGTTAACTGAAAATCGTGGGATATAATATAAGAAAAGAAACAAGAAACTTGAGAAATATGAAACAAGTAAAAAAAAAAAAATTTAACCGATGGTTAACACATATAAACATACAATTAACTCTATGTAGCGGAACGCCAATATAAAATCCACGAATTCCGCTGGTCCAGAAACGAATCCACAGTCAAGCGCTGAAAACACCAAGGCAATATCCCCAACCTCCCAATAACCGGACGAGACACAGTTTTGGGAGTCAACTGACAATCCTTTAATCGGCACGACAATTTATACAAGTCCCCATGCAAGGGGTTTCCTGAGTCCTTTCCCAGGGGCACTCCCAGAGGGGACTACATGGGGGACTTACAGTATGACATATTTCTCCCATCAGGCACTGCTGCACGAGAGGGATCATCCTCCCAGAATGCACCGTAAAGGGGATTATCCCCTCGTGCAGCAGAACTGGCAATTCATATAAAAATGCATAACTTTTAAAATATACGGTGGATTTACACGAATGGACGTTCGGTAGTTAGCTGGGGTCTGGGCGCATCATTCGTGAGATTGCCGCTCAGATCCC